GATAAGGAAGCACATTTTAGAATCCCTTGTCTTCATGAAATGACAATTCACTTTTCCTGCAAGAACACGTGTACAGTTTTGGTTAGCAAATGAAAAGTGTCATGTTTCTGGAAGCAACCAGGAACCCTTACATGAGTTTCAGCTAACATTCTTCAGAGATTGAATCCATGAAGGATCAGAGCCCTAGCAGCCAAACTAATGAACAATGTGCAGTCTGCCAGAATTCTTGGTTTAGGTTTGCAAAGTCATAATGTAGATGTGTCTATTCCAGCAAACATTCTGACACATGAAATATTTTCTTGCACTGGGATAATTTGTACTTGTTTGCAAATTATAATTGAAAGCATGTTTACATCGCTCGGTATACTGTATGATGCACAATGGACATACTTAAATCCAGGGCATTTGAGGTTCTGTTTCTAAACGACCTCATGAAAAGACATGAGTCATGTTGCAGATATGTCACTCTTTGCCATAACGAAAACCCCAAAACCCCAAAACAGCTATAAATGCAATGTTTCGATCAGTTCTGACTACTTCCTGTCACTTGGACCTAAAGTGCGGCGAATTGACACAGATAGCCGTTTTTTTTTAACATAAGTTTGAAATTCTTCCTAACCCTACTCAAAATATATTTTTATTGTCGTCTGTGCCTCTCATTGGAAGATGACCCCTGACAAGCATGGTCATCCAGGTACAACCATGTACAAGAGAACATACTGTTTCCTTGTACACAACTGGATATTCTTTTGCAAAGTTACTTTTTACCATGTTCAATAAGCCACATGGGGCGTTTTGGTATTCCTGTGGCAAGAACCCATTGATTCCTGCGGCAGGAATCCCAGGTGTCCCATTCAAATGTGACTGTTGTACAAATTAAAGTAAATAATAGGGTGACAGCGGCTGAATCTGTCAGCAGCAGTCCGCATGTAATCATCCATGATACAATTACATGTGGTTTGGGACAGATGACTATCACTGGATGTTGTTATCCTGTAATTTACTGGGTACAGCAGCTGCATATGAACAGGGGCACCTGGGATTCCTGCAACAGGAGGTGGGTTCATGTTAATTGGGCCTTAATCCAATATGTGTAGATAGATAAGCCTTTCGCAAACAGTGTGCCAAGGTACCGTGTGGTGCCTTCTGTCCTCGTCAGGGGTTACTTAAATTTCACACAGTAGCATGCATTTTCATGGTGTAGCAAAGCCAACCAAAGTACCATGGATAAGCGTGATGCTAATTCACGGAGGGCTGCATCCAGGACTTCCCCCAGCATTCAGAAGAGGACCGAAGTCCTTATCCGTCCAGACCTGCTCTGCCTCCCACCTAGTGCCATGCTGCTGCAGCCTCACTGTGGTGAAGATTATAATGTAATGTACATTACTGATGTAAAAGGAGGTTCCTAGTCTGAAGGGGGGGATTCTGATGTAAAGGGCAGAAATCCAGGCCTTTTTTTCTGCTTTGACAAAAAAAAAAAAAGAAGAAGGTTGAGAAATGCGGATAAGCTACTGGATGTCTAACTATATTAGAAATGTAGGCAAGGGAAGACAGGGCTGCTCCAAGTAGGCTTGTTTGTTGAATGATAGAAAAAAAAATGTTAATCTTTCTTGAAACGCTTCACATTTCCTTTTCAACATGTTAATGAGATAAATATGTTCCCACAAGGCCTGATCTGCTTTGAAGTGCTTGAGTAATAAAAATCGTAGATTTACGGTATTGCTTTTATTGAATTAACTCTTATCACATTATGACTGACCTATTTTCAATCTCTAAACAGTGAAGGCAGAACAAACAATGTACACTGCCAGATGCACATACTAAAATAGTTAAAGAAAACTCGAGGTATGTTGGGGTTTTTTTAAATTAACCCTTGCAGTGGGGCTACCCCCGCAGCAGTAGCTGTTCGTTTTGGTCCAGGCTGAAAATACCAGTTTTATTCACCTGAAACTCTGAACCAGCTTGTTCTTAGTCTGGTCCCTCTGAGCGTCTCTACCCCTCTGCTGCAGCAGTCTAAGGTCCCATAAATCATCAGGTTCTTTAAACAGTGTATAGGACGTGAGGACTCCGAGGGAGACTCCATCACTGCAGCATATGAGGAGACAAGCTTTGTGGAGTGCTGTCACAGCCGGCTGGCTAGGGTGAGTATAACTGTTATTTTCAGCCCTAGACCAATACAAACAGTTAGCCCATGCAATGCGAGGATAGCCCCATGGCAAGAGTTAATTAAAAAAACATTACCCAAAGTTCTTCTTTAAATCTGGTGCCCCAGGCCTCCAACAATGTTTTCTCCAAAAACCTTTTTTACATTTATAAATGTTCCATAGTTTGGTAAGTCATTAACTACGTAATTAATGTGTCAGTCTGAGTCTTTTAAATACACACAGAACATGCTTAAAGATGCACAACAAATTAACTCATTTCCAGAATAATTAATTTAATAACATATCCCAAAATGTTAAAAACAAATGTCATCATCCATTTTCAACGCCAAATGACCAACATCTTGTAAAATAAAAGTTGAAAAAAAAATATCAAACATAGGATAAAGTGACCATCCAAATTACAGTAATGATTGATATCTGTATACAGTAAATGTTTAACATTACAGAGCTATACATAATCCAAGTGGTCATATGTTTGTAGGAGGGAATAAGAAATGTCACATACATGTGAAGTGAATCATACATGCAACATACTATCAAATAAATGTCCCCATTACAGTTAATTAACTTATAAAAAATTGACAGAGCTAATTACTCAAAATTAGAGCGTAAACCACAGGTCTTAGAAGGGACAGCTAAAATAAGTGTATTTTGTTCCTACATTGATGACTAAGGTTGCACATAACCAACTTAATTCCATAATAAGTTAACTGCTCATATTTTTACATCAAAGCTCTGAAATGATCTCTCCAACATATGTATAAACCACAAAAAGCTTTACTTAATTGAAAGTAAATGGTGCAAAGTGCTCATTTTTCTGTGCAGTAACCCATAGCAGCCAATCAGAATTAACTCTGCTCAGACCTGTACACAATCAATTCTGATTTTCTGCTGTGTGTTACTGTTCTTAAAGAAGAGCTCTATAAAAAGGATAGCAGGGGTAATGTGTTTATTACACTTATCTCCATGCTTCCCGAGATACAGCTCCTTGAAAACTGTGTCAGGAGTGCAGCAATACAGTTTGCTTTCTGTCCTCGCACTTACCACTTCCCCTCTCTCGTATTTTCTGAATGGAATTAGTCACTACAAATGGCAGCCTCATAGACTTCCATTGCTACAACTAATTCCATTCAGAAAATAGCAGATACAACTAATGCTACTACTGCACTTCCATCACACTTTTTGGAGGACAATATCTGAGAAAGGACAGCAGAGAGGTGATTGTAACTAAACTACTTGTACCTCCTGCTGTCATTTGCATATATATCTTTCATTGAGCACTGGTTTAAAAACTACTACTTGCACTGGTTATTGAATAAGGCTGTTGGCGATCAGCAGGATTCAGCTTCTAAGTGGGTGTCAGATTGACCATTAAACCAATAGGTTCCTCTTATAGTTGGCCCTTATAGTCTGATTTATTTGTCGTTCGTACATAACAGTCTAACAATGTTCTAACTTGCTCATAATAGTTATGTGCAGTTAGATGTTATTCATTTTTCCACTTTCTTGTCTTCAACAAAATACCTGAACATAACTTGTTTGCATAAATATTGTAAATTCAATGTTACTTATTCAAATAGCACAATGCTTAAACTGCACCTGCCACTGAGGTTTCTCAAAGATCAGGCATGCAGAAGTTTCTGAAGTGGGTCACTGAAATCAATGGCACCACAAGCAAAAAAAGAATATAAAAATAGTTTAATACTATGTTTATAATGTATGATTTTTAATGCATTATATTAACAAGGCCCAAACATGTCAGGAAACACATCATGCAACTGCAATGTCACCAGTTTTTTGACAGGTGGATAGTGCAGCCCAAAATATAGCAACCTACACTACTCTTTCACAGGAAGAAAATATGTACTTAATGTTTGTAGGCTACTTCTGCTAACCTCATTCTGAATATTCTATTTACCTTGCTCATGTAGATCCAATGGCTTCAATGATTTAAGGCACTAATATGGAACAGCTATGCAGATGAGGTGTTCTTACGACTTTGAATCACTGACCTAAAAATAGCATGGGGCCAAAGACCTCTAGGCATCTAACATTTCAGCAATGAAGTCTATACATTTCTCTCTCAATATAGATTTACTTTAAAGCTCAACTTCAAGCAGATTTAAAAAGACGACAGTTAATGCTCTACACTGGTTAAAGCATTTTATTAATTTTTTGAAAGCAGCTAGCATAAGCACTTAAAGTAGACCTGTGTAATCCCCTGTGCACTAAAACTTCAACTAGGAGTTGGAAAGGCAGCCCTAGTAGCCAATCTGGAGTGCTGCAGTGCACATGTGCAGAGGAAAAGAAAGCAGAGTGAGTAGACGGATAAGCTCATCAGTGTGCTACTACTTCTCCATTGGCCAAATCACAGGCAGGGAGGTGACCTAGTTGTACTGCTCAAACTGGAGCAGAGAAAAGTCAGGTCACAAACCTGTGTAGTCTTCTGGGCTGTGTCCACCCCATAACTGGATGCAGAAAAACACAGAGCCTGTGGTAGATAAAACATCTCATTATCTAGCTCATGTGTACATTTAGCCATTTGTCTGGAGTTCAGCTCTAATGTATAGATTCAACTGAACAATGCTTCAATAGGCAAATACTTTAAAATATGGTAAAACCCTTCCCTTACTTGCACAAGCAGTAAACTGTGAAAAAAGTATAAAAATGTGAAAAAAATGTACATGTACGTTCGAAAAAAAAAATAATGCATAGACAGCAAAGACATTCTCCGGTTTACAACATGCATTAATTTTATAGAAGTCTCCCAGTTTTTTTTTTTTTATTACAAAACATCTTTCGAAAGCACATGGTGTTTGGTCATATTAAAATATATGTTGCTATGGTAATAAACATTGGTACACTCTAAATTACCAAGAACACCATTGCATGGAATTTCAGCTTCATGTGCAAGCCATTATATAAAAGAAAATAAATGTGGCATTGTTTGATATATCACACAGGTAAATTTACCTTTTATTTCTCAGTAGGTTCTATAGCTTTCCATGACACCAGGCAGTGACATAAGGCACTTAGCAGAGCTATGCATAGTTTTGTATGTAGCCTTAGCAAAGATTTATTTTTGCAAAAACTAACTCTTTAACAGAGTGGAACATTTAAATAGACAAACTAAAACATGCAAAACCATATTAAATAATATATTTCTGGACCCTGGCATACTAAAGGTAGGACAGTAAAGAAAATCTAAAACATGCAAAAAGAACACTTTCAGTGGTAAAAAGGAAACATAAAACAAGTTAAGAACAGTACACAAAGCTGAATTATAAACAAACTTTAAGAAAATATTTTGCAGTATAAAAAGGTGTTGAAAGCAATGTAAAAGCATTTTTTAAAACTATGTGAATACCAGACGGTAGAGCATATATTATACATTCACTCACAAAATAAGTACTTATTTGCAAATAGTATATATTAACACTTCAAATTCATTTTTCATTAAATGTCTTTTCAGAATGTCTCTTCATTGACGAGGAGGAAGCTATCTCTGGAATAAAGATGGGTATAAAAAGATACCACTAAAAGTAGAAAACATATCATCAGAGTCTGAACTGGCAAGCTTGCCCCCGGTTAAGACAATAGCGACTTCATCTCCAGCCTTCAAGTGCAGAACGAGGTTGAATGTCCCTACACCACCACAAATTTGTCTTCCAGGTCTTAGGTCGCTATATTCCAGAAGCTCTCTTCTATATCCAGATGTATGCAACTGTGCTACACTGACATTAGACACTGACAGGACAGCCTCTAGGTATTGTTCCTGCTCTGGAGTGAGAACCGCAGTGACCAAGTATCGACCCTCAATGGGAGCTGTGAAGATTCCTGCAGGAAAAACAGGGCAAGAAATTGCAAAATTACAATCATGTTTCATTTACATAGTGCCAACACATTGCACTGCGCTTTACAAAGAGCACTATAGCATTTAAATATGTTTGTAACTCTTACAAATTATTACATTCTAATCATCCTAAAGCGTGGAAATGGAGACATGTGACCCAAAGACTACAAGACAACTTATACTTGTTTCTGAATAGTAAAAATAAACATAAAGATAAAGACTAAGGAAGAACATAAAAACTCCAGACAGTGGTTGGAATAAAATGAAAGAACAGACTCCAAGGGAGTCTTCAGTGGTCTTTATTCTAAGTCAATTTGGCTTTTGTAAGTCTTTAAACTTTTTGTTAGAAGGTGATCAGCTATGACAGCATTTGTATTGCTATCAATACAGGTTTCCTTTAATTTTATCAAACAATCTTTTCTAAGTCATATTCTTATTGTGACTTCCAAAAATTCAGTCCTAGGCACGTGTTTGGTTTGCCTAGATTGAATACACTGCAATGTTTAAATTACCCAACACTGCAATGTTTAAATTAATTGGAGAATAGTTTTAAATGAAACAAAGGAGATCAGCAATACTTTCATGCAGCCTGTTTTTGGATTTGAGGCTGTTGCTGGGAAAAACAAAAGCACTCCAAGGATTCATACTTGGCATCTAAAGCTTTTAGAACAATGTTAAAAGCTTCTGCCTATTTTTAAGTTGAGTTCAATTGGGGTTTTTTTTTAAGCTGAGAGCAGTAAAATACAGAATAGCCAAACCATTAGTGAGAGGACTATACAGGACTGCATGGTTATTTTTTGTCTAATGGTATATACAATATAAAAGGGGGTCTACGTGCCAAGAATAAGCTTTCCTGAATTAAAGCTGTTCAGTGGTACAGTAATAAAACACTACATTTTACAGAGCTAAACTATAGGATTTAACTACACATAATTTTATCAGATCATGTTAGAAGGACTGAGATTTTGGTTAGTTTTCCATGGAAAACTGAGTACTGTAACTGTTCATTGTGTGCAACAGGAAAAGTCATAATACTAAAGTAAAATGATAGGAACAGTGTCATGGATACTAAGCAGGCCACATATATCATTGACACAAGCACCAACTAACACTTTATTCCTCTATTCTCTCTCATGTCTAGGCTCCTTGTAGTTCTTGCAATCATTTACCACCTTGGGTTGCAGTTGTTAGGTCAAATATTTGAAGAACAACTATAGGCAATGTGTTTTTCCCCATAGTTCTCTTTAGGGTCCACGGGAGGACATTAACCTCCTCCCATGACCCAGAGCTCAGTATATCGCGGGCTATTGCCGGCAATATACTGAGAGCGCCCGCAGCCGGGACGGATCCCAACAATACTGTGGAGATCCACCCAGCTGCGTGAGTGACAGCTGGCTCTGCCTATCTAGAGGCAGAGCCAGCTGCTCCCCGCCCCCTCCCCTGCCAGTCAGTGCTCACTGCAGGGAGACTATCAGGAAGTGAGTGGATCGGCAGCATGTTTCTGCTCACTTCCCGATCGATAGAGCCAACCTGTGACAGCTTCTTTGTCACAGGTTGGCACTAACTAGGAGAATGAGTGGAAATCACTCACCTCATAGTTCTCCTTTAAGCGACATCTTAATTTAAAATAGGGCTGGTAAATAGGTGAGTACCGATCAAAAAAAATTAACGATTAATCGAGGAATTAATCGTTAATTTTTGCAGCCCTAATTTAAAATATATTGTGTCCAGTCACCTATATATATTTAGTACTCAATTATACAAACACTGCTAGCTTATATTTTATTTTTGTGCATTCAAAGTTTCTATAAAAAGGAACCGGTTATATAATTTAAAAAAATACATATCTTACAGGAGATTTCCAAATGTGGAGATATTAAAAGGGGGTATACTAGGTAGGGTATGGTGCTGCATTCTGTTATACCCCATATATTTCCAATTCACTAAATGAATAAAAGAACGGTCCGATATGAATACTTTTATGTGAACCTAAATGGGTTGAAAACACAGAACTGGCAAAACCGCAATGTTGCAGATTTTATGAAATATGTAAATATTCAGTATATGATTGGTCTCTTTTTTATGGGTAAAGTTACATGATCCAAATGGTTAATGAAAATCAAGAAAAGCTTCTCGAGTGAAGCCATTTCCCAAGGGCTAGAAGGGGTTATTTTTTGTAAAATCCAGGTCAGGTAAGGCCTACATATTTATATTAAATCATGGTTTTAATTGAAGTTTCCAAATACATTAAATGATGAATCATCAAATCACTGTATTTTAGCAGGGCTTCCAAATAGCTTACAGATGTTATCTCTGCCAAATGTATATTATAAAATCCATATGTGATCATGGAAGACAAAAGGAATGTTTCCAAACTGTGTGGGGTGGTGCTCTTTAGGTGACCCAAATAACTGATTACAGCCAACATTATTCCATAAAATGTTTAGGTAGATTGATTTGCCGTCTTTAGTAACAGCTCAAGAACAGGTAAAAAAAGCACTAATATGATTCAATCACAGAACTTTCAAAATCAAAAATAAGCTATTGACATGTATGAAAAGAGGTTAACACGGGTGCCTGCACATACCTACAACAACCTTCAGCTCCACCACCCTGTCCAAATGCTTGTATTGTTCAGGCAACACTTCCTTTTCATGTCACAGTTTTCTTGGCCCTTACTACCCCTATTCCTTCCTATTGGCACATCACAATGATGGGCTACATTAAATGGCCAAAAGGCATGTGCAGAGGCTGGAGGGAAAGGTCAAGATTCAACACTATCAGCGAGAGCCAAAGCTTTGCTTAAACAGATGGGCTCAGCATGTAGGCATATTGGGGACACTGAAATCTGGTGTGTGCAAGCACCTCTAAGTGCCTTCTCTTCATACCTGTGAGCAGCCTTAGATTGCTAAAGTAAGCCACTTTCTAATACACTAAAGGAAACCTGTCACGAAAGAAACAAAGAGGCAACCATTACTAACCAATCTTATTTAAACAAGTAGTTGTGTGGTTGTCAAGATGAGCCCCTTATTTTAATAGTTTGAATCACTGAACGGAATCAGGTATGCAGATAAAAATTCGTCTGATAGAGGTTACCTGGGCAAAAAATTAAAAGGAAATTTCAACATTAGGGACACGGATAGTGATGAAAACTGGTCCTAACCCTCTTTACTCTTTGTTTTTACTGCTGTCTTTGACCTTCCTATTCCTTCTTAATACTCTCTTACTGTTCAATCTTTAACGAGGGGAAATCTTCCCACAGGAGACACAAATATTAAAACTTGAGAGGTTCAAAACCCACCCTATCCAACAGTAAAAAAAAATTCTGGCTACACTTGGGTTTTAAGTTGATCTCTTTCAAATGCATGTCTTAAAAAAAAGTTGCAGAGACTATTGTTCCCCTTTTAAAACAAAAGAAACAAAAGCAGGACTCTCAGGTTTAGTATATACTATGAAAAGAGAAATTCCAAACCATAGTATTCATTAAAACTTCTGTGTTCGGTGTTTTCTAGGCCATGATGCCAGAACCTATAATACTTTATTAATAGCTTTAAACAACATTTTAAAGTTCCCAAATTCTCACTCAAATACAGGTGAAACTCGAATAATTAGAATATCGTGCAAAGTTAATTTATTTCACTAATGCAACTTAATAGGTGAAACTAATATATGAGATAGACTCATTACATGCAAAGCAAGATAATTCAAGCCGTGATTTGTAATAATTGTGATGATTATGGCTTACAGCTCATGAAAACCCCAAGAACCCCAAATCCACAACCTCAAAAAGTAGATTATTACATGCAATCAATAAAACAAGGATTGTACATAGAACAATATCGGACCTCTGAAAAGTACAAGCATGCATATGTACTCAGTACTTGGTTTGGGCCCCTTTTGCAGCACTTACTGCAATTACTTTTGCACGATATTCTAATTATTCGAGTTTCACCTGTAATACATTTGGAGTACATTTAAGTATGGCAAGATCAGTTTTTTGGTTGTTATTCACATTATGGTTGTTTTATTCACATGGGGAAAATCCCTACATAATATTTTATGGATTTGAAAGAAAATATTCTGTATATAAAATGATAGTACTAGACATTGGAGTTACTTGTAGTCTTGGCTGAAAATATAGATACAGCAAGAGTAGCGAAATGCGCTGCTAGATGGTTTGTTGACAAGGTCTTGGAAGATATTTCAATACTATACCAGCACAAAGAATTCGGGTCTTCTAATGCAGGCATTGATTAAAACCAAAAGCCATTGATTATATTGGAGGGTATATAATGCTATTTGGTACAACACAAGGCAGACATAAATGAAGTTATCTTTAGAGTTCAATCTCTGCTCATAGGTGGTCATCAGACATATATAGAAGCAACCCAAGAGCTAGAACATTTGCTCAATGGATGAATGATGACAAACACAACTCTATCCTATATAAAAGCACATTTCTGTGATAGCAGAAAAAACTGGTATCACTTTTAGTGGGAACAATAAGGTATCAGTAAAAAAAAAAAAATAT